AAAAATTATGTAATTAATGATAGGGACTTTGACCAAATCTAAAAACTAATAAAATCTTAATCAATGAACATTAGAAATTAGGTAACGGATACTAATTTTTCCTATAAATAATAGGGAGTTTTAACGAAAAGCCCACGGTACTGTTCACTTTAACGAAAAACAACATTTTTACACTAAAAAGTCAAACCTGGTACTATTCACTTTACCCTTTATTTTGTCCTTATCATTAAAACTCAAAGTTTTCAAACCATTTTCATTAGTTTTCCTTAAATAATATTGGTAGAGTAATAACCACACATAACAGTGCGGTGGGTACACTACATTTAGTTGTGGTAGGGAACTATGGGAGACAGTTTCATTTTCTTGACATATATTGTACACCAACAGGATCCTGGGGATCCGTTCATCATGTTCGTTCATTGTACATTATGCGATCAGTTTTTGTCAAGTACTGTTTATATTTATTTTTAAATAAAAATATTTAAAATGATTTATGACTGCACGATATACGATAAACAGACACGATTCACGAATCTCTGAAATCCTTACAAAGAGGATCCGGACTCTATTGTACAAAACGTTTTTCATTTGTACAACGGGTGTCCATTGAAGGACCTCAACTAAAAGTTGTACTATTCTGTCGACAAAACGTTTTTCATTTGTACAACGGGTGTCCATTGAAGGGCCTCAACTAAAAGTTGTACTATTCTGTCGACAAGAAAAGGTTTTGTATTATGGAATTATGAAGCGTGTTCAAACTACGATCAATCAATCTTGTGTGAGTACCGACATATGTATAAAGTTTCATGTATTCGAGTAGGTATGATTTCCGAGTCCCATGAGCAATTTAAACATCGTATATTTTACTGGGTAATGCTTTCTTATCAAACTTGCATATAAAGAGAGTGCATATAAGAATAAAGAATGGTAATCATGATATATTTTAACAACTATCCACTGCAAACCAACAAAATTTACAATCTTATAATATAATCATGTTATACGTTATGCAGTCTAATAAGAGAATATTTTCAGTAATTTATCGTAAATCATAGCCGGCAGTGGTATTAGTTTATACCAGGGAAATGATCTACCGCGCACTATCCTCTAAGATTACAGCCAACCAGTGCATTATTAAGAATATAACACATCTGCATGACAACAAGAAGACAGTGCAAGTTTCAGTCTTGGAGGTTGATGTTCTCAGCAAACTACTGCAAGTGTTATCGGCGTCCCAATGTTCAGTCATGGCCGTCGATTTTCATTACCCTACCGTATTAATCAAATTTTAAATGGAAAGATAAGGAGGATCACAGCTAATCTGTGTGATCTCACACTCCAACAAAAAGAAGGGAAAAGTTATTAGCAGTGTCTCATGAATTTCTGTAATTGTTCTACATTCACCATGAATATTTAGGTTGGTTTTCACCTCCACTCAACGATTTGCCTTCGCCCGTCAAATGCGTTAGATTTTCGATTACACTAGTAAATTTTACCCGCACATTGTTGCGGGAGCGAAAACATGACTATAGATTATGTTTTTAACATATAAATATGGAAAGAGTGTTATAAATACTAAACAGAAAATGGAACAAATATTAAAACAAAGCTGTCCAAGTTTATATAATTTATAGAAAAGACATTATCAAATGTCTTATCATCAGTATACAAAAATGGTTAACCTAGTATTTCCCCTTGACAGTAATCCTAAAGAGCCCATTGTTTATATACACAAAAAGAATGAGGAATTCATGTTAGGATCAACTATTTACACAATAAAAAATGTGAATCAGGTCACATTCTCCTTCCTCTGCAAGCTATTTTAAAAAATATATATATAATTGTTGTTTTGCTTTTCTTAATAAAAAACATATACACAAAAAGTTTACTGCAAGCTTATAGCTAATCGGGTCACATTCTCCTTCCTCTACAAACAAATAAATCAAAATTCGATGCCGAAAACTATTTAAAAAAAAAATATATATATATATATATATATATATATATATATATATATATATAATTGTTGTTTTGCTTTTCTTAAAAAAAAAAAAAAAAAAACTCGGTTTATTTTTTGCTCTATCATTGTCATCAGTTTAAGTAGCAATCATTTATCCTAATTCATTGTCAAATTAGGCTACGAATTCAAAATACAAAACACGAAAATCCAAATTAAACGGAAAATTCAAAATTCACAACGCAAAAATCTAAATGCATCTAACATTTATTAACCCAAAAAAAGCAAGCTAGTCATGATAAACAATTTGATCAGTTAAGAAAATCTCTTTCTTTTATTATTTTACAACACTCTTGTTTTAAAAAATATTTAAGCAAAGTTATCCCTATGGCACTGTCAGCAACCAATTTTTTGCCTTGGTATTCAATCCATACATATACCCTCTTTAAAATTATACTCTCCATCAATCCCACTAAACTTTTGTCCAACGACTTACATAAGAAAACCAATTTTCTTAACCAACCATGCTTACTAATCCTTACGCTCTGTGGCAAGAAAACCAAATAACTCACCAAGACCCACAACACTAACCCACAAAATCAGCCAAAAGATACCAAATAGGGGAAAAAAGCTAAATCTGGAAGAGAGAGCAGGCAATAGAGGAAAAAATGCTAAATCTAGAAGAGAGAGGAGGAGAGAGCAGGCGGGTGGAAAAGAAGAGAACCAAACGCAATGGGACAAAAATTCCATTAAAACTTTAAAAGCAGTCAAAAGGAACTGAAAAACGAAGAGAAAGCAAAACGCGGCGATGAGAGACGCGTGGAAGTGAAGGGCACAACCGTCATTTAATTGTGGAAAGCAAGAAAGATAACAAACAAAAGGAAAAATTTTAAGGGCAATTTCGCCATTTCACTATTAATAAACAGTATTAAGAAACTGAGTTTTAGTATATATAATTTAGTCACGTGATGTACACGTAATGTCCATTTGAGACCCTTTAGCCCTCATCGGTGACTAGTTTTTATCATAAAGAGGGATTTTATTAATTTAAAAAAAGAAGGTTGTAAACCTAATCACACGTAGTAAAAATAAGGCCAATTTTTTTTTCTTGGTTCATGTGATGGCATGATACTTTTAATATGATCATTGTGGCCAAAAAATTATTAATTAAACCCCTGTGGTGAGCCTTGTTAGCAATTGAGGTCCAAATCCAAACTTTCGTTAGTGTTCCGTTAAATAAATTCATGTGACTATCACGTGGATAAGTCAAATTCATCATTTCAATCCAAATTACATCTTATTCTATGGACATTTAGCATGACTTAGGTATACCGTATGCATGTGTCCTTTTTGGGCAAGTTATGACATACTCTTATTTCTCTTGTGAGTTGGCATATGATTCCAGTGTACAAATCAAATTAAAATAAAGAGGAGATAATTTACATTAACCATTCACGAAAGAAAAAATAACTTCATCATTTCTCGTACCATAATTTATTTTGTAAATTTTACCACGCCAAATTTCACTCAAATTAAAGTTCTGCAATCTCTTTGTATAAAGTTAGTTGGCTTGTCTTTTTTATTTTTTATTTTTATTTTTGCATGTTAGTGATTCAACCATGCGTCCCTCTTAAGTCATAAGTGCATCATCATCGCAAGATAGATTTAAGAGAAATTCTAACACATCCGACGACGATAGCGGGTGAAATTGAACATTTAAAAAATCAAGACAGTTAAAAACCGAATTATAAATTTTTTTTGGATCAAATGATGAATTTTATTAGATTCTAATCGATAATTTATATCTTCCACAAGAATATTGAAAATAAATTCAAGTCTTATACAATCTCATTTACGGTTACCATCAACTTTTGAGATGTAAGCTGCTGCTCTTCCATTGCAAGGGACCATATATCATAAATAACAGAGTCAACAAAACTAGCAAGGGACCATATATCATAAATAAGCTCTTCCATTGCCGCGTCAACTCCAATTTCTCTATGGGAAATTTTATTTGAACCCTAAAAACTTCTTTCCACATCCAACTTAAATATTTTTTCCATTAAACTCTCCACTTTACCTCTAAATTAATGTGAGATAAGAAAAATATATTGAAGGGAGATGAACCCATATCAGCCCCACCAACGCCCGCTGTTTTCCGGCATCTTCTTCATTGAGGCGGGTGAATCTTTTGTGCCAGCGTCTTTTTTTTTTCAAGCTTTTTTTTTTTTTCCGTTCTCTCTGTTTCCATCTTATATTCTCCTCCTCCTCCTCCTCTTTATTGCTCACTTCCTTCAACCGACAAATGCCGAAAGCAAATTTGGGCCTACACAATTTTCGAGTGTTACAGAGTTGGCCACGTGGAGAATCACGACCAAGGGTACTTTTGTGTTGTATGGAAGGGCGTTAGATGTCAAAGCTTGTGGAAGGTAAATGGGCTACCATGGATGGTAGAAGTTGCCTTGAAAAATCACCAACAAATCTCTGGCGGCGTTTGAGGTGGAAGTGACAGTGGGTGTAAAAAGACATTTTGATTTTGTTTTTTGTTTTTAAGTTTTATACAAGGGTGAATTAGGAATTTAAATAAAATATTTTAATAATTGGGTGTAAAAGGAGGTTGAATGGGTTTTAATATAATTTTTCTTTCTCTATTAATCATTCGTATCACATGGCATCAGATTCCACCATGATTTGCATGAAAAACCGAATTATAAATTCAAGATGCAATGCGAAAAATGACGTAATTAAGTTCAGACGTCAACGTTTCTAATTTTCTAAGACTTAAAAACTGAATTAAAAATAACAGTTGCATGCATTACTTGGCCATGACTAGATTCCATGTCAGTAGATCCGGCCAAGAATTTTGGATAATGACATCCACGTAATTACTGACTCTAAGTCCTCCTTTAATTTATCCAATCATTTTAGTTTTCTAATATGGGCAGATCAGCCTTATCATCTGTTTCTTTATATATACAACTGCGTTTTGAACGTTTCATTCGGAGTTGGATGATATTTTCAGTTGAGGACTCCCACGTTTCCTAAATTTTCATGAAAGGACACTATTTATGGAATTTATGCAATTTAGTTGGATAAAATAGGAATTTCAACAGGTCGGTTTTTTAAGTTGAAGGACTCCCATGCTTCCAAATTTTCATGCAAGGACATTTTAGGTTGCTATATAAGAATCCAGTTTTGCAACATATCGTACCACGCAGAACCAATTTGCTTTCTTCTCTGCTTTTGGCTTCTTGTTTGCTTCGAGTCGCATTTTAATTGCTCCATTTTTCGTCGGCAAAGATGACTATCCTCACCGAGCAACCTGAGCTTGGTAAACCCTTCTACCCTTTTCCTTTAATTCGTTTTTTTTTTCTTTTTCCGAGCAATGGTGGCGGAGGGAGGAATTGAACACAGAACCTTGGGTGAATGGTTGAATGCTGGCATCCAAGCGAGCTGCAAGCCCTTGCCCTTTGTACCTTGTTTAACTCTTTTGCATTGGTTTTATGTTCCGGTTTTTTTTATGATTAGTTAATTAATTATGATATTAATTTGCTCGATAGGGTTACAAATGGGGGAAAAGAAGATTATTTCTTCAGAGATCAATGGAGAAATCAGTGAATTAGTATTGGATGGTGGGTTTGTGGTGCCCAAAGAGATCTCAAAAAATGATGGAATTGTGGCACAAGAAATTGCAGCGTCCAATGAGGCTTTCATTGCACCTGAAATTAATTCATTTGGCCAGTCTTTCAGGTCTGCATAATTTTATAAAATTGTTCTTAACTTTTTGTCACATTTTTCATGTAGTTGTTGTGAAATATTGAGGTCTGACGTGCATACGCAAATGCAATGCAGGGATTATAACGCTGAAAGCGAAAGGCATAAATCTGTGGAGGAATTCTACCGGTTGAACCACATTCATCAAACTTATGATTTCGTGAAGCGAATGAGGGAGGAGTATAGCAAGTTGAATCGAGTCAAAATGAGCATATGGGAATGTTGTGAACTCCTCAATGAGGTTGTGGATGACAGTGATCCTGACTTGGATGAACCACAAATTGAGCACTTGCTGCAAACTGCTGAAGCAATTAGAAAAGACTATCCCGATGAAGATTGGTTGCACTTGACTGCTCTTATTCATGGTATATTCCCAAATAAAATTCCTTAATTCTGATTTTAATCTTAGCTGTTCATTTGTTAGAATATATAACGGACTTTTCTACCACATTTTTAAATGTGAAAATGTCTTCAATAAACTTGAATACTTAATTTTAAGTGCAGTTAACCCGCAATGTAGAAGGACTCATATATTATAGTTTACAGAATTCTAGAATTAGAATGATCCACAACTGCTTATGACCTTTTCCAATGAAGTTCTCTATACCCAATTTCTGGGATTTGATAGAAGTGCTTCTCCTCTTCCATTAACTTTAATCTTGCATGGGTTTCAGATCTTGGAAAAGTGCTTCTGCTTCCTAGCTTTGGAGAGCTTCCTCAATGGGCTGTTGTTGGTGAGTGTTGTGTTTTGACTATTGAAATTTGATTACCCTTTCGCAATTTTGAGCTATTTCAACTGAAAAAGTATTCAAATTTTATGTTGCAGGAGACACACATCCTCTCGGGTGCGCTTTTGATGAATCCATTGTTCACCACAAGGTATATATCATTTCCCATGAAAGATTTAGTTAGACTGAAGTAAACATCTTAAATGTGATCATAAATATATAGTCAATCATTTCTTTGTTCTTGCAGTATTTCAAGGAAAATCCGGATTACAACAATCCTTCCTACAACACTAAGAATGGGATCTACTCAGAAGGATGTGGACTGGACAATGTCATGATCTCTTGGGGTCATGATGACTACATGTACTTGGTACGTCTTTCACTTCATGCGTTCAAATTTCAAACGTTACTATCAAGGCAACCCTGATTTTGTTAACTGGTGTGTTCAAATTAATCTGCGCAGGTGGCCAAAGAAAACGGAACCACTTTGCCTAAGGCTGGATTGTTCATCATCCGGTATCACTCATTTTATCGTAAGTACCACGAAAATGCAGAATCCCTTCCAAGAATGCAAATGTGACCAAATGCTAACTTCCAACTTATCATTATGTTGCAGCTTTACATAGGGCAGGGGCATATAGACACCTTATGAACAAGGAGGATGAAGAGAATCTTAAGTGGCTTCAAGTATTCAAGTAAGCTCCATTTCCACTTCACTTAATTTATGTATACATATGTATGTATATATCTTGTGATTGCAAGATTGCATGAACAAAACTGACCATACTGTGCTTTTCTTTTTGTGATGTTGTGCAGCAAATATGACCTCTACAGCAAGAGCAAAGTTCGAGTTGATGTCGAAAAAGTGAAGCCATATTATTTGTCCCTCATTGAGAAGGTGAGTACCGTAGTTCCTCGAGCGGATTCTGAATTTTCGATTATTTACTAACTCATATTCTGATTGATTTGGATGTGAATTTTTCTGCAGTATTTCCCAGCAAAACTGAGATGGTGAGCCCTTTAGGTTTTCGGCGTGATCTATATATTAAGGAAAATTGAACCTTTTATGTTCTGCTTCAAGATGTTCAATGTTGTACAAAGTGTTTGATTAAAAAAGAGGCTGTTGAGTTGTATTAAATTCTATGTGAGGAGTTGTATTGTATGCTTGTAACTTTTAATAAATGTATTCTTCTTGTGCCGCTGCCCCATATTCAAAGATAAATAAAGAAAATTGTATTTCTGCATCTTTCATTTCAGTAATTCCATAAGCTTCTAAATATGTTCTATGCTTTCTCAACCTATTTCTTTGGGTCGAAAAATTTCTAGATCCGCCAGTCTGCGAACCAGCAGCCCAAGTTCATATATTGCAGACAAAATGGTCATGTCTTGTTTCTTCAACTGCCATGGCACCCCACAAGAAATACTTTCCTACCCCGAGCGTATCCTCTCTCTCTCACTCATCACCTAAGTACCGAGTGTCGAGTGAGAAAGAGAAGAAGAGTATCTTCTCCACCCCACAAATTTCATGAGAATTAGATCCCACTGAGACAAATCACTGTTTGGAATTTTGTTCATCAAGCTGTGATTAGTGGAGTATTTTATTAATTATTCCATTTGCCATACGCAATAGCAAATGAATGTTAAGTAAATAAGAAAAGATCAAAAGCCAAAGTCTTGCATTCTTATTAATCAATTCCCATGTTCAAAGTGACAGATGCATTAGTAATATAATACATTCAAAATCCTACAACATCGGAAGCCGATCGTTAAAAATTAAAAAATAAAGTATATTTCTTAAATCTAATGCGAGAAAAAACTTAGGTTGTTACTCAAAAGATATTCTTCTTTTTGTGTAATATTTAGCATCAGATCATTACGTAACCTAATCAAGTGAAAAATAAAAATAACGATATATCTTCTTACAGAAATATTCCCCTAAAGCAAATGCATTGCAAGATATAATATCGTTATAAGATGGTAGCTTACGATAACAAAAAATATAGGAAAGAAACAAAAGAAGAGTGGTCTTACTGTCCTGGTGGATTTGACAGATCATATAAGATAAACCAAATCACAATCTATATATAAAGTCCAATGTGACACATAAACTAAAACAATTACATTAGCATATAAAAAATAAAATCATATACAATTATTTGGTAAATTACGTAACGCATCAAAACCATTGACTAATTACACTATTTTTTTTCGAATAGTAGCAAAAATATTTCTTTTGCTTAATGGCTTTTTTCTTCTTTCCACCTAGAAAGTTGGATAGGATCGTTGAATTGAATTCAAGAATAAGAGCTTTTTGTAGTAATTGATTAGAGCTTTATGGCTCGTTTGGATGTGCTTTTAAAATGACTTAAAGTATTTTTGGTGAAAATATTTTTGAAACCAATCCTTGGTAAAAATCTAGTGTATCATGAAAAAGCATTTTAAGTACTTCATGCAATAAGCACATATCTGGTGCTTAAAAGTGTTTTTGGAACTCAAAATCAATTTCACCAAAAGCGCTTTCAGTCATTTTAAAAGTACATCCAAACGAGCTCTTATTCTTATAGACCGCACTGTTGTATGTGATCCATCGATTTTATAAACGCTAAAGAAAAATGCTAAAGAGACTTTCTCAAAATGGACTATGTATGAAATCTGTGTTGCCTTATAGTTTACATCAATTTACATGCTAACATTATAAATTATTATACCAAAATATATGAGACGACAAAGAATACATGAAGAGTCGTTTTTGCGAGAGTCTTCTTAGAATTTCACAAGCGATAAATTAGAATATTTAATTTAAACCACACAAATTTAGCTATTTAAAAAAAAATAACAGTATGATACACTGATGCATTATAAAATTTGTCTATTGTTATCTGAAACTGAAAAATTGCCTCAATTAAACAAAGAAGGTCGCACGTGCCGTGCACACGTGCGCTGCGTCTGTTCTGTTCTGTCTGTCCACCAAGGCACCAGCTCTTCGTCTTCTTCTCCGTCAAAGCAAAACCGCCAAAGAACGCCATAAAATTTCTCAGATTGCTTACCATTTTCGCCCCCAGTTCAAATTGCTAAAAAAAGGTCCAAGATTTTAGGTATTCACCTAATTTACCACACAATTTCTCGTTCAAGCTCTAGTCTTTGATCCAAAAATCACACCACTAAAACCAATTCTCACAAACCCCAAATCCCCAAAACTCAGAATTCGATTCCGCAGTCGATTTCCAGCTAGGGTTTTTATCTCTGTGATGAGTTTTGCCTCTTCTGTATGGCTCAAAACCCCCCGTTTCTTCTCCACCTTTTCATCCTCAACCTCTTCATCAGTTTCGCCATAAACCCTAGTCTCTGCGCTGATTCGGACGATGATTTTTCGATTCTTGGGTTCGAAATTCATGGGGACTACTCGCCACCTTCGCCGCCTCCGAGTCCGCCGCCGCCACACCCTCCCCCGCTCTCGTGCCAGGAGGGTCTCAACGGAATTGGGTCTCTGGACACCACTTGCGAGCTGAATTCAAGCTTGATTCTTGAAGATAATGTGTATATAGAAGGAAATGGGAGCTTATATATACTTCCCGGTGTTAATTTGAGCTGCCCATTATTGGGTTGTGAAATTGTGGTTAACATTAGTGGGGAATTTAGTTTAGGTAGAAATTCAATGATTATAGCCGGGTTAGTTTCGGTTAATGCTTCGAATGCGAGCTTTTTAACTGGTTCAGTAATAAATGTTACGGCATTGGCTGGTGCACCCCCGGCGCAGACTAGTGGCACCCCGGATGGTGTTCAGGGTTCTGGTGGAGGGCATGGTGGGAGAGGTGCTAGTTGTGTGATTGATAATACAAAGCTCCCAGATGATGTTTGGGGTGGGGATCCGTATGCGTGGTCATCGTTGGATGAGCCAGTGAGTTATGGCAGTAAGGGTGGAACAACTAGTAAGGATGAGAAGTATGGTGGGGAAGGAGGTGGGAGGATTTGGTTGGAGGCAAGAAGTTCAATTGATCTTAGTGGGAGTGTTTTGGCTGATGGTGGTGATGGTGGGATTAAGGGTGGTGGAGGTTCAGGGGGCAGCATATTTGTTAAAGCTCGTAGAATGTATGTACTTTACCTGTTTTGTGTTAAATTTTAAACAATGACTCACTAAAGATTATGTATTAATATGCTCAATCATGGATGCTAATAGTTTGTTTTGTTGGATTACTTGTTAAGTACCTCTTGCATTACGTAACTACAATTATTTTTCTTGAAGAGCAGGACTGGAAGTGGCAGGATAAGTGCAGTGGGAGGTAATGGATTTGCTGGAGGAGGAGGTGGAAGAGTTTCCATCAAAGTTTTCAGCAGGCGTGATGATACAGATATCTTCGCTCATGGTAAGTAAAAAGTTATCATTTTGTAATATAATTTTGTATATCAAAGCAAAGAACTTGCTTAAGTTTCTCTTCGGTAATATGTAAAGGAAGAACTTATTTTTGGGAGAACCATTGGAACTACTTTGTTTGTACAGTACCACTGCTATGTTGGTGATGTTCTGCTTCTTCTGGCAGGGGGAAGGAGTTTAGGCTGTCTTGAAAATGCAGGTGCTGCGGGAACATATTATGATGCTGTACCTCGGAGACTTATAGTCAGTAATCATAACTTATCCACACAGACTGACACGCTTCTGCTAGAGTTCCCTAAACAGCCACTTTGGACAAATGTTGACATCCAAAATCATGCCAAGGCTTTGGTTCCTTTGTATTGGAGCCGTGTTCAGGTCATTGAAGAACTAAACCAACTTTTATGGCTCTGTGATGAACGGCTCTTCTTGTCTCAATTTTTATAATTATAAATACAAACATGCTATTTAAAGTCATATTATGCTGAAATCGTAATGCATTGTACAGGTTCGAGGTCAAATTCGTTTATCATGTGGTGCAGTTTTGAGTTTTGGTCTTGCACATTTTGCTTCATCAGAATTTGAGTTGATGGCTGAAGAGCTTCTGATGAGTGATTCTATTGTCAAGGTAAGCGTAAGACTTATCCTTTTTATTTATTTATTTCTTTCTTTCTATTCTTACATGTTTGACTATCAGGGAAAAAATTAATTGGGGGTGGGAGTGGAAATAGGAAAACGTCATCTCATTTATCGCAGTATTCTAAAACTTGAGTGTCTACTGTCTTTTTCTGATATGCTCAGATATTTGGGGCTCTTCGAATGTCTGTCAAAATGCACTTGATGTTGAATTCTAAAATGCTAATAGATGGTGGTGCTGATTCAATTGTGGCAACATCCTTACTTGAGGCAAGCAATTTAGTGGTTCTCAGGGTATGTTGAAACTAGAACCTTGATTTTACACTTATAAGACGCATAGAACCTTGATTTACATTGTCAAATCATGCTTCCATATTTGGTTGTCAGGGGGCGTCTGTGATACATTCTAATGCTAATTTGGGAGTTCACGGACAAGGTTTCTTGAATTTGTCTGGGCCAGGAGACCTGATTGAAGCACAACACCTGATTCTGTCTCTATTTTTTAGTATCAAGGTAAACTGCAGATTTGGTGTGTATTTTTACGTACTCATCATTTCGTTAAAACCATGTTTTATGAGTTTTATGGTGCAGAGTTTTTAAGTATCCACCCAAGTATCATATACCTAGAATTGTTGGCATCTGAGGGACAATTTATTTGGAATCAGTTCTGTTACTTAAATTTGGAAACTTGTAATGATTTGTTGATTTGCTTTTTAACAGTATAAGAAAACACTTAAAATATGTATGAAAACATATTCTCTGATTTTGTTTCAAGTGTAAATTTGAAGTGTACTATATGATTTGTGCATTATTAATATCTTGTGGCCATGTACATACTGAATTTTCTTCTTTTAATACTGAAGATTGGACCTGGATCTTTACTGCGAGGGCCCCTGGACAGTGGCAGTAGTAATTTGACGTAAGTTTTAAATTCATAGTTCTCAATGATGTCATTTTTTTCCCATTGGAATTGATTTTCGTTCTGGGAATGGTAGGAAACCCCAACTCAACTGTGAACTTCCAAACTGCCCCATGGAATTACTTCATCCACCCGAAGATTGTAACATGAACTCTACATTGACCTTCACTCTTCAGGTCTCCCATTGATCCAGATTGGGAACTAAGTACTTATCTTTGTCAATTTGGTTAAATGTTTAAGAAGGTTAAACAGAGTCCACCTTGTTTTTCTGATAAATGGTTAGCTTCCTGCTTCAGATCTGTCGAGTTGAAGATGTTATT